AGATGTGGTAGAAAGAGGAAATGTAGTAGTGCTGGAAGGGCCAGAGGTGATAGAGGGTGTGGTGCTGGGAGCCTCTGAGGTAGTGCCAGTGTTGGAAGGTGTGGTGCTGGGAGGGCCAAAGGTGGTAAAGCGTGTGGTGCTAGCAGACTCTGAGGTAGTGCCAATGTTGGAATGTGTGGTGCTCAGAGGGCCAGAGGTGGTTCCAGTGTTATAGTGAGTTTTGCTGGGAGAAACAGAAGTGGTGGAGAGTATGGTGCTGGGAGCGCCAGAGGTGGTTCCAGTGGCAGAATGAGTAGTGCTAGGAGCGCCAGAGGAGGTGTCAGTGGTAGAGTTAGTAGCGCTGTTAGCGGTTGAGGTGGTGGAGGGCCTAGTGTTGATAGGGCGAGTGTTGGTGCCAGTGGTATAGTGAGTTGTGCTGGGTGTACCAGAAGTGGTAGAGAGCATGGTGCTGGGAGGGCCAGAGGTGATGTCAGTGGTAGGATGAGTAGTGCTGGGAAGGCCAGAGGGGTTGGAGGACCTGGTGCTTGGGGGGCCAGTGTTGGTGCCAGTGGTATAGTGAGTAGTGCTGGGAGCACCAGAATTGGTGACAGGCATGGTGCTTGGGGGGTCAGAGGTGGTTCCAGAAGAAGAGACAGATACCATAGGAATAGAGCTAGATGTAGACTTATCAGTGGTGATAGGAACAAATGTTGCAGTAGAATAAAAGGATGTGGTACTGCTAGGGCGTGGTGAATTAGATGTTGTAGTAGAAAAAGAAACTGAAGGGGTACCTGTGGAAGTAGGAGGGGCAGATGTACTCAACATGGTTGGTGGGCAGTTGCAGGTAGGGTTAAGATCTGAATAAAAGTGAGTGACAGTTGTGTCAAGAGGACATTGTGTTCCAGGAAAAGCTTCAGTTCCCAGGGTTCTGTGGAGTTCTGTTAATTTCTGTGTCTGCAGGTATTCAGGGCCTTCTGCCACATTCTCCCCCCAGTGTGCACTTGCCAGCCAGCTGTTCTGACTTTTACTGAAGCAGCAGAAAGCTGACCAGAGCACTGAAGGAATATTGATCCTGTTGTTGAGACTACTGTTGCTGGGCAGTGCTCCTATTACTATAAAGCCTTCTATTTCCTCATTGTTATTAATGCAGAATTTATTCAGAACACATTTGACACATTTTTCCATTCTGTTCCATCTTCCTGTGTTGAATTTGTGTTGTTGTGGAACAATGTTAGTCAGAGTAAAAGTCGACATTTTTTCAATCTGATCAGATCCATAAGAGCTTGGAAATAAATGTCCTCTGTCAAAACTTTGGTTGTTTCTGTAGTCTTGGTCACGAGCCTGGTTGTTGCAGTTGATGTTCTCGTTCTTGTTTTTCTCCTTGTTTTCCCTTTTAGGCTTTTTTTGGCTTTTCATATTGCCATTGTGTCCTGATTGTTCAAGCTGTCAAAATCAAAAGGGTAGATTAGTGATGTATGCATTGTTGCTCCAAAGTAGAATAAATATATTCTGCAAATCCCTGTCACTTAATTATATCATCCTTGGGGTCAATTAGATCCCATTTAATGTTAATCATTCAAATAATAATACTTAACTGTTTTTTTTAGTTCACATGTCTTTTCCTATTTTGATGAGGACAAATGATAAAGCATAAATTTTTCATTATGATATTTTTTTCAATTAGTTGTACACATTTTGCATACATTGGTGGTTCTCTTGGGTCAATTTGACTCCAATTTTTTTTTTAGTTATGTAAAGCACGTCTGTCTATGTGTGTTACCTATAATCCTTACACCTGCAGTTGCAGAGTTTGTCCTTTGAAGTTGATACATGAAAGATGGGTGGGGAGTACATTCCCATGAGAATTTTGATACTTCTCGCAGTGTGGCTTGTGAATTGCTCAAATCCAAGTATTGTGTGTGTATGCATGTGTGACTGAGTTAACATATCTTTGTGGGGACTAAAAATTGGAAATTTACTATGCTTGTGGGGACCAACAGCCCCGCAAGTTTCAAGGCATTTTTCCATCTCAAAAAGGTTTAGGTTTAGGGCAAGGGTTAGGATTAGGTATTCAGTTTTGATAGTTAGCACTGGAGAAAGTCAATTAGATGCCCCCACAAAGATATTATGAAAACACGGTGTGTGTGTGTGTGTGTGTGTGTGTGTGTGTGTGTGTGTGTGTGTGTGTGTGTGTGTGTGTGTGTGTGTGTCGAATTAGAACTGATATTTCTTGTGCGGTGGTGGGCAGAAAGTTCCCACAAGGACATTGACAGTTCATGCAAAATACTTATAAAAGCTTCCATGACAGTCTTCGATCTAAATCATTACTCTTGGTGCTCTATGTACTTAGCAATCCGTATCTAAAAAAGAAATATCCTCTGGAAAATGCTTTACTGTCATTGAGGCTTTGGTACTACTCAGTAATTGAAATGTGAAAAAATTTGAATGCAAACCTTTCAAGATATATTTATTCTACATGAAAAGTTTGGACTGATGGTGGTGCCAGACTTTCTTTATCGAGGTACTATTTATGTATTCAATGCATAATACTGGAGGCCAAGGGTAAGTAATATTAGGGTTAGTAATATCTGAGGAGAATAATAGGGTTAAACACAACAGATCACTTTAAGTTGTGAGTTGGAGTCATTTCTATGCAGTTATATAGAAATATACTGAACAATGCCCTGCATAGTAAAACATGACTTTGTAATGGAAAACATTATAGTAATTATAAATCGGATAACTGAATGTAAAAATTCTTTAGTGCTGTAGGTGGCAATGTGAGCAGATGATTTGATGTCCACATGGCGGGATATTTAGATTCACTGTAATAAATAAATGTTATTACAAGTACATAGCAGAAAAATAGCATTATTTAGATGACTTTTTTGTAAAAAACAACCTGTGGTTCAATCTTCCAATCGGGCATAGGTCTCTTTCCTCCATCTCCTCTGTACTTGGCAGCAGAAAAAAGTGGAATCTTGTTCAAGGTGTCGTAGAGCGTCATAAATGTTCTTTTGTCATTCAAAGTCTGGCAAATTGGTTTGTATCTGTTCTGGTCCTGGATTTCCCCTTTCTCCAGAATTCCTGGGATGTTTGGTGGAGTTTGGTGAAGAAAAAAGTCAAGGCATTCTGCTATTGATGTCACCACTTCAGGTTCAGTGGGAACAATGTACAGGAGGACGACAGCAGCAAGGGGCAGGAGGTGCTGTACCTTCACTGATGGGCCCTATGCCAGGTAAAAGGAGAAAAAAGAAAAAGTAAAAAACAAATTGTAAAGTGTTTTACTAATAGACTGATATAGATAGATGCATATAGATATGGTGGATGTTCATATTTAATATTAACACATAATGAGATCAGTGTCTGTACAAGTAATCCCTGTTGAACACATTGGTGCTGTAACTCAGAGAAATAATTAACATTGTGAAGACATTTAAAAATAAAAAGTCCACTGACTGTTTTGGTATTGACATGATATTAGTTAAAAGTATTATAGAATATATAGTGCAACCTTTCGCATACATTTGTAATCTGTCCTTTCAAACTGGTGTGTTTCCCTCACAAATGAAAATAACAAAAGTTATTCCAA